GGTTGGTGGTTCAAACCCACCCAGAGATGCCTCAGTAGAAAGGCATAGCAGCCTGTTTTCACAAGGTCACAGCCTTGAAAACTCTGTGGAGGACATTTCTACTCTGAAATACACGGGGTCACCACAAGTTGGAATCAACTCAATGGCAACTGGTTTGTTTGGTGTTTTTCTTCAGTCCTAATACATACCCCAAGCCCATCTCAAGATCCTGTTCAAGACATCATTACCCCAAATATAAAAACAACTTACTAATTGCTAAATGATGGAGGAGTTGGATAGATGTGATTTCTGAGATAACCTCTCTAGCTCTAAAACCTGTACCATTAAAATTCTGTCTTTTCATTTTAAGTAAAACAGAGAAACAGAAATGACTAATGAGTGTAAAAGTGGGCTGTTTAAACATCACCCCATTTTTGCTGAAAGTAGCCTGCAACCAAGAGCCTCCACTAAGATAGAAAAAATTGGTGACAACTGTTTCACCCACTCAGCTTACTCCTCCGGGTGGCTTTACGGTCACTTTCAACCTCCCTCTGCTTATCCATGAGCAGGTCTACCACAGTGCCAGGCAGTGTGAAGGAACACATTAAATTGATACTCCCTGAGTTCCCTAGTCACTGAAGCAGATAAGGTGGTGGTGGAGTGACCCAAAATTGAGCAAAAGAAATTATAAGTTGAACACACACACAACTACCTTCTTTGTTACCAAGTGTCATTCAACAAAATTCAATGCAGAGCACTATGAAAACTCACCTACTGCAGAGACTTGCCTCACTGTTAATGAGGCTGTATTCTACCAATCATTTCCTTGGGGTAATTTTCATCCTCTGGGGTCTCTAAGAACTGCTCCTCGCATGGGCCCTGGTATCCATATTTATGACATGGGATTCTAAACGCCTCCCTACCCCATCCCAACCAAGGCTGATAGGACCCAGGACCCAGAGTGAGCCAATCTGATTTTCTCCCAAGGAATGAAAACAGGGATTCTGGAAAGTTAAAGAAGTCCCTGCGGCTCTATAGCTGAAGGCCGCTATAGCCATTATAGGGCAGCCATCTTCAGCCATGTGCATGGAAAAGCAGGCAAGGTCAGAGTGAAAGGAAAAACGGAGAAGAAATAAAGATGACAAGCAGAGAGACGCAAGGAAGGAGGCCATAAAGCTCCAGAGAAAAGGACTAACAGCCAGCCGTCCGGGATGCTGATGACTTTCTGGTTCCTAGTTCCTCGCTCCAGTCTTTTGCAAACCCTGATTGCATTTCCTGCACGTGGGTCCTGAGAGAGATCCCTATCTTTGCAGTACATTACCCCATTTTTGCTGAAAGTAGCTTGCAACCAAGAGCCTCCACTAAGATAAGCTCCGTTAAAGTAATGAGTATTCCTGACTTACAAGAGAAGGGTGAGCCAAAACTGTTACTGCTCAACAGCAGAGGAACAAACCCACCAAGCACATCTTGCACACGTTTTCTTTTATTCATAAACTTTTTGCTGTTTCATCATTCCTCTGTATTGTTTTCAGAGGAGGACAGCTCTGTCTACAACCCTCACTACCCCATAGTCTAAAAGTACTTCAGATCAGAGACTGAAGTCAGGTCGATCTGAGTTATAACCTCAAATCACAGCCATGTAACATTTATGAAGGCTTGGAATTCTGCTAAGAATTTTATGTACATTATTTAATTAAATAATACTAATTAGTGAATATTAAGTTATTTAATGCTTCTCCCCAAAGCTTTAAGGTTTCATTAGCCCTCGTTTTAAAACTTGATGAAAACAAAGCCACTTGCCTAAAGTCACAAGACTAGTAATTCCAAGCCCAAGCCCCTAAACCCTATGATAAACTGCTTCTTACTTTGTGACCTTGAGCAAATTATTTAGTCACCCAGTTTGCTGAATATTCAGTAAGACAGTATTTGTAAAGTGATTAGCATAGTGCCAGACACAGAGTAAACTGCTTCAGTAAAAGGCAGTTATTGTTATTAGTTTCATTTGTACCTCCTAGGTTGAAAATGTCAAGAAGTCAAACTAGTGAGTCTACAGTAAGCTGCTTCAAGCAGAAGTACTTTTAGTTCTATAAATTGCACGTTCTCTGGAAAACAGCCATTTTCAAGAACTAGGCAGTCAAAGCAAAAGGAACAAATTATGACCAGTATTTATCTTGGATAGGGTCTAAATTCTCCAAGAGTAACAGATAAGAAATTCTTTGATAGCCTGAAAGCAATAATCATGTCTGAAGTTAGGGGGCGCCATACTGCCGTACATTATAGGAAACTACTGCCCCAGAGGGTCTCTTCAGCACCCTTAGATTCTTCTCAACAAAATGGAGGTAAATAAATTCTGACGGGTAACAACTTTTTTTTTGGGGGGGCGGGGGATGGTCTCTAAAATTCCTTTCCATACTGACACAACTTCAATCCGAGATCCAGTATTGTATAATTGATTTATTCCCAGTGACTCTGCAATCACTTCACTGAGATTAAGGGCATTATTACATTATTAATGACCTTCCAAAGTCCAGCAAAATACAAAAAATGTTTAATTAGGATGAATGCATTAATAAATAAGCATAACCCTAAGAAATTAAAGTAATTAAAAACCATTTGGTCTAAAATAAGTGTATATATTGGCAATTGTTGAACCTGGGTGATGGGAGTTCATTATACCAGCCTATGTTTATATATATTTGAAAACTTCCATAATAAAAGTTATAAATAAATTTACAATGTCAGCCTTTTAAAAATCTACTTTTTACTGAAACCTGTTGAAGGGTGCAGCAGGAAACTGGACCCGTATCACTACTTTGGGAAACAGCCTTGGTTGAGGGAAGAGAAGCTATTAATGAAGGTTAAATGAAGGTGAAACTAATAAAACTCATGTAGAACTGGAATGTGTTTCTACAATGCTTTAATAATGAGCTTCAAACAACAGACCCAAGGCCCCAAGACATTACTAAGGAGACTGTATAAGCAAATTAGACTTTTTTTTTTTTTTTTTTAAACTATAATAATCGTTTGCTCCAGTTGGTTCTCGTCAGCCAGGGAATATCCCAATCTAGAGGTGATCTGTCTGAAGAGCAGGAATGAAGAATGTTGTGTCAAAACAGCCAAAGGAAAGCTCGAAATCCGGGCATGGGCAGATGTTGCTTAAACTTCTCTCTTCGGTGGACAAGATGAAATTTTCTGACTTCAATTCACAGTCACCTTCTGAAAGGGTTAGCTGCAAAGTTACTTTTTCCACTCAGAAGATAACCCAGTATTGAAGAATCATGTCTAGAAGTTTTTTTTTCCCTTACCCAGATGTACAGTGCTTTTCATTCAATTTGTCGACTTGAAGTCTAGCCTAAAACTCTACCCCTAATCCATTAAGTCAAAGGTAAATAATAGTATTTAACTTTAATAATATTAGTGACCTCTTTCTACCAATTAATTCTAACTTCTTTTCCTAGAATGCTGGGAGGAAAATTCTTAACATCTGAGATTAAGAGAAATTTAAGAAACTGTTAAGAAACTGTCTTGCAGATCGAAACTATAAATACCTCTGCCACGCTGAAGCTAACCCACCCCAGGAGACAGGTAAGGCTGTTTAGTACAACAACAAAACTATGCAAAAGACAAATGACTTTCTGATCCATCACCAAAATGATGGAAGAAGAGCAAAGAAATACTTTAACAACAATTTTCTACTGAGTTCAGCCAACTCCAAATTTTCCCCAAACCAAAGTAAAATTTAGAAAGCAGCAATTTCTTCAATGATCTACTGCATTTGCACCCAATTATTAACAAGGCTTTCAGAAATTCTAAGTCTCCCTGGCTTGAAAGGTGTACAACAATCTATTTTCTCCACTACTCCATTCACTTGCCTCGACCCCTTCACTGCTATACTTTTCCAGTCTTTAACTTGTCTTTTATTAACAGCACTCCTCAGAGCTTATGGGACAAGTGAGCCACCAATGGTTTGTTTTACCATGGGATTGTTCTTGAATTGAGAAATACTACAAACATTTTTAAAGAATGGTACATAGGTGAATGTTCACTTCCCTCTCATGGCCAGTATGCTTTGCCTCATTGTGTTTCAGTGAGTTTTCTGTACTTCTGAGTTCCCCTTGACTAGTCCACAATAACAAACACATAAATCACTCAGAACTGCCCCCTGGAAAAATAGGCTGGGCTATCATTCGAAGAAAGACTGAGTAGCTAGGCTATCTCCCAAATAATGTTCATGGGACAACATCATGGTACCTACATGTTCCAATATTTCTGCCAATCTACCTCTATGTGTGTCCAAAATAAATTACCACCCAGTGAGCCACTTCCAGCTATGTGAACAAAAACATCGTTTTCTTTCTAGTGGTACCTCTCAGGGATTTCACCTCAATTTATAGCTGGGAAAGGGAAGGGGGGAGGGGGGTGTAGGGCTAAGCACCAGGAGAGGGTTTCCAAAGCCAAGTAAATGGTCTTACAGTGTCCTCAGTCTAACCAGCCAAGGGCAACACTCCGAGGTGACTAGAAGAGGATCCTGCATTTTTTTACGGGGGAGTTCTACCCTTTCACATGCTAAACTTCCCACACCTGCCGGACAAACTCCACAGACCAACTCCCACATTACAAGAGTGCATTACAACTGTCTCCAGATTCTTTAAGAGTGCGTTTGCGGGGATACCTTCTGAACACAATGAAGCGGAATATTAGGTGACTTTAAAGTAGGCATTTAAGGTGAGTACACGTGTGCCTTGGAACAGTGTTTCTAATACCCTTTCCCTTGTTTAAATCTCTGAGAAACTCCATCTCTTAAAATGGGACCAAAAACCACAGCTAGCTTGTTCCACACACCAGGAGCGATTATTCTAAAGTCAATAGAAGGTCATAAGTACACACCTGAGTCCTTAACATGAACTATCGCTCAGAAGAGCTGTGGAACAAACCAGGCTGACTTCTTGGTTAAAAACTAAAGCTCGCTCGCAGCCGTGCGAAAGCAGCAGACAACTGACTCCCGAATGCCCCGGTCCTACCTTGGACCTCTCCTTGACGTAGTATTTGCCAAGCCGGCTCCCGCAGTACAGGACCAGCCTGTCGATGAGGGACAGGAGGAAGCTGATGGCCTCGCAGCCCTCCTCGTTGCCCCCGATCCACGTGATCTGGTCGCCCCGCAGGTGCCGCTTGGAGACGCCGGCGCGCGGCCCGGCCAGCTGGCCGTCCCGCAGGACCCCATTGCAGTGCAGCTGCTTGACGCGCTCCAGGACGCAGTCACCCACCACCTCGCCCAGAAAGTTATCCAGGTAGCAGAAGCCGACCTCGTGCAGGCAGGGCACGATGTACTCTAGGGCGATTTTCTCCAGATCCAGCCTCATGATGTGTCCCAGGGGCATCTTGCCCACAGAGTCGAGGTCGGAACCCCCAGCGTGCACCCCGGGAGGGAGTGACCTAAGCGCGCGAAGGCGAGGCGCAGGGAGCGTGCCCGGGGATTCAGCTACCTGCCGCGACCACAGTCCGCGAGCCACCGCAGCGCCTGGGAGAGGGGAAAGTTGCTTGCAACTCTGGGAACAGGGGAGGGCGGGGGGTCCCGTTCAGCGACCCGAGAGAGTTGTGTGGGGCCCCACGATCCAGCGCCGGACTGACCCAGCAAGGAGTCGGAGGGCCCCTCTTGGAAATGCGGCGCCACCACAGCGGCGGCGGTCGGAGACTGAGAAAGGCTGAGGTCCAGCCTGTGAGCCTGCCCGACGCGGCGCGTCACGAGCCCCGCCCTGACCCCGCCTCCGGGACAGCCCTTCCCCCCGCGGCCTGTCGCCCCCGCCCCTTCTCCGCCCCCAAGGCCAAGTATCTAGGCGAGCCAGCCATCAGCCCTGGTCGATTGTGAGGGTGCCTGGAGAACAGACTGAATTTTTAGAATGCTGTCGATTTGCATATTGTTTTGCTTAAAACCCCGTAACAAACTTGAAAACCTGGATCCTAACTCTGAAAATGTAAATGTAATCAAAAGCAAAGTTTACTGCCACATTCTAGGCTGGTCACCTCACAGGCTTTTGATTAAAATAATAAAACCGGGAACAAATACACATATTAAACAGTGGTCTCTTTCTTAGCTTTATCTGATGCCTTTCGTTATTCCCTTTCCTCTGCTGTTTAACCCGTCAGGAAGTGCAAGCCACCGGCAGACTGGGAGAAATCTAGTTATAACTAAAATGAACAATTAACATTTTTCTAACCCCGACTATGTGCAAGGAACCCTGGCGGTGCAGTGGTTAAGAGCAACGGCTATTAATCAAAAAGTTGGCAGTTTAAATCCACCAGCCGCTCCTTAGTAAACCCTACGGAGTAGTTCTACTCTGTCCAATAGGGTCGCTATGAGTCCAAACCAACTTGACAGCAGCCAAGGCTCTATATTCTGAATGAGGGAGAATGTGCACAATGAAGAAATACCTGCTGGGTCATATCTGATTGAACCCTGCAAGTATTTTGCTTTTCTGATTGTTTTCATCCACTGACCTTTCAAGCTTCTAACCAAATATGATGTTCTGAAATTCTACCTTCAAAATTAATCATGTGGCTACAGTCAGTATAGGTATGTCCTCCAAAAAAATAAACTGTATTCTGGGTCCCTCCTCTCACTTTTCCGAGCAAGCAGCTGCATTATACCAGAGGGATGGACACCACATAAAAGACTTTTTAACTATCCAAAGGTAAGCTGACTGCTTTATGGATTATTGATCCCCTTACCTGCCAGACACCAGGGATCGGAATCAGGGGAAAATATTCGTCAATGGCAGGCAAAGCTATTTCAATACTTTATCATTTTACACTAGTTGGCACTCAAGTTCTTCATGTAAATCGAACAAAAGAATGCACAGGTTTTCCAAGTGTCATTTATTTTGTACTCGATGCCCTACAGCTTTCTTTTATTCTCCTTCCAGTAGCCCTCTCCTCTCTGCTTCTGAGGGGTGAAATATGGAGGGAGAAATGGGGTGTAGCCCAGGCCAGGAACAAAGAGTAGAATAGGAAAAGGATGCTGCTGCTGTGTGACAGAAAAAGCAGACAGAGGTGGATGGCCAGTAAAGAAACTGGCGAAACTTCTAGTTACTTTGAGAGGAGGTTCTCTGCCAAGTCAGTGATTAGTCTGCACTGTTGGTATGACCTTGCAGCAGGAGGCGCACCTCCTGGGGGTAAAGGCCTGAATTGGCTAGCACTCGAGGAAATGTCACCTAAATTCCCAGGGAGCTCCATGATGACCCCCCAGAGCCTGGCACATGGTAGGTGCCTAATAAATAGTTACTGGGAACTTGGTGTCTGCACCTGAGCCATGGCCACTGCCACGTGGCATTCAGGCATGTCTGAGCTTGTCTGGAGGTCTGCAGGAAGAGTCTATTTGCATGAAGGTCTGAGGAGCCTCCTGGAAGAGAACTGACTGGAAGAAAGTGCCAGCCAGATCAGTTTGGCCCAAAACAAAACCTCGGTGGCCTGTGGAGAGGAGCAGTGAGGCATTCTGCGGGATGTTTCTCCTAGCCATGGAAGATATTCCGGGGAGCGGGAGGCCTAAAGTGAAAGCTAGTGGAACTGTTTAATTGCAGGAAGGAGTGAAATGGGATGCAACAGCAAAAGGGAGGAGGGCCCTTCTCTCTACTTCTACTTGAACCCCACGTAACCAAAAACGGCTTAGACCCCTCTAGTGATCTGAAGAGGTCATTATTGACAATGGGGTGGTCAGGAGAAGCGTGGTCTGAGGTATAGGCCCTGGTAGGCAGTGGGTTGTGGTTTTTGCATCCTTGGGCACTGTTGTAACCCTTAGAAGTAGGTATCCTGAAGAGGGCTTGAATTAAAAAGGGGAAAATGGCAGATAACCCTTGGTAGCTGGCCAAAATCTTCTAGCTGAAGGTTCTTTGTAGATATTCCTCATACTCCTAGGAATAATTAGGGGAGAATTTACCAAGGACAAGAAACCTGAAGAGCATGGTTGCCAATAAAATACAGAGAAGTATATACCCACCACCCTTAATGAATATGTTGACTTTAAATCCCAGGACTGGGTCAATTTGGCTTACTCTTCAAATAATATTTAAATAATTTTAGAGTAAAGTCGTAACAGAGGAAGAGAAAAAAATCTTAAAGGGTCCTTCCCTGGAGCAATAGTCTAAGCAAGTTCTACTAACTGCTGGCCTAAAAGTTTTCTAGATTACTCTGGTTGCAAGGTGTGGGCAGTTTAGAAAGGAATTCAATCTGTTGGCACCATCCCTCCTTGGCATAGGTACCTATTAATTAATCAAGGACCTTCCAATCAGCTCGGGGCTGCCAGCCCGCTTTTGGCAGAGGAGCCAGAGATACCGTGACTGGGAAAAAGCAGTGTGTGATTACAGGAGGCCAGCAGACAGGCTGGAGCCGTGCACAAGCTGAGTCTGAGCATCACAGTAGCAAATCTCAAGCTGATTGTTAAAGCGCGTTTTGGTGATTTGTCCATTAATTTGTGTCATCGTAATGAATATTAAAATACTTTTCATATTAATAACTAAACCAAATTAATTTCTCTGTAATTTAATTACAACAACATTGTCTTTCAGTGAGCATTTGCAGTACAGACACAATCGTTTTTAAGCATGTGAATGAGAAGTCTCGAAGAAAAGATGCCGTATTTCTTTGCTGTGAATTTGAACTGGAGAGAATCTTAGTAGTCACCTAACCCAACTTCATTTTCATACAAATGAGTAAGTCAAGGCCCAGAGAGGCTGGACGTTACGTGACTTTCCTAAGGAGTCTCTGATGAATGGAAGAGGAAGCCTGGAATGCTTTCACCTTTTCTACTATAACATAGAGATCCCACTCACGATCCTTTTTCCCCCTTTCTTTTTAGATTTATTTTTTAATGAAGTAAACGTCACATAATATAAAATTAACCATTTTAAAGCAAACAATTCAATGGCATTTAGTTCATTCACAAAGTTGTGTAATTACCACCTCTAGTTGCAAGGAACCCTGGTGGTGTAGTGATTAAGAGCTTGGCTACTAACCAAAAGGTTAGCAGTTCAAATCTACCAGCTACTGCTTGGAAACCCTATGGGGCAGTTCTACACTGTCCTATAGGATTTCTGTGAGTTGGAATTGACTCAACAGCAGTGGGTTTGATTTTTGGTTTTTTATGGTAATTGAGGAGCTACCCAAACTGTTTCCCACAGCGGCCGTACCATTTTACATTCCTACTGGCAATGTATAAGGGTTCCATCATGTCCCTTTTTATTTCTGATGAAAATTGTCTACATTCCTTCTGCCTTTTAAGTCCTTGAGTTTCGCTGTATCCTAGTTGGTACCTGAATATTCTGTGTGTTTTTGCCTTGCCATATCACCAGGAGACTTATCATTATATTGAATTACTTTTATGTGGACAAATGGACAAAGGATCCTTTGTTTATTGGTTTATTGAACAAACACTTCTGTAACACCATATCCCAGGCACTGTGCTTTAAATGCTTTACAACATCTCACCTCAATTAATTCCTATAACAACACCAAGAAGTATGCACTATTATTATCACCCATTGTGAAGGTGACAAAAAATGAGGCACAGAGAGACTAAGGAACTTGTCCAAGGTCACACAGTGAGTATAACAATGCAGACAAAATTTGAGAAATTGAAATGTAGTAAAATCAAGGAAAAAATGTAATTTCAAGCCACTCACTTGGCATAGAAATCTTTTTGCCTTTAAGTCATCTTTTTTCTGTCATTACTCTTAATAATAACACTTCCATCAACTTTCATTATTGGTTTTTTTTACTAATATTTGGTGGAGAAGGGAGATAAGCAAAATTTACCATAAATTATTTAGTTGACTACATTAAGAGTAATTTTACAAAGTAAGATTTCCTTCTCACTCCATCCCAATTATGGCCCAGTGTTCCCAGGAATCCAACACAAATTCAGTCACGTTCAGGTATGTTGAGAATAGTCGTTGGTAATGAGCTGCATCATTGGACTGGGCTGCTTGGTTCACCACTCAGGACACAGGAAGTGCAGTTAATTTAAATGGCAATGGTGGAATAAGAGGACAGTGTCTGAACTGAATGTTTGCATCTTCAGCTTACTGGTATGAACTGGGTTTAGAGAAAGAGGTATCTGATTATGTCCCTTTCCCTGTGGAGTTAGCCATCCTACTCCTTTCCAGGTTTAAGAGGAGAGCAAAGAAAGTAACTTTCAACATTGGTGCTTAATTGTTTCTCAGCATATGGACAAGTTTAATCCTCTCTCACTTGCTTTTTAATAATTGTAGCCATGTACAGATTCTAAGAAGTGTGACATATCAGGGGTATTCATTAATATTTTCCAATTCAACTCTTCTTTCAGCTGAGAAAGTAAAAAGCATTTGCTCTGGCTGAAAATACAGCATCAATCATAAAAACACAGCACCAAAAAACCAAAACCAAGCCCGTTGCCTTCGAGTTGATTCTGACTCATAGCGACCCTTAGGACAGAGTAGAATTGCCCCATAGGGTTTCCAAGGAGTAGCTGGTAGATTCAAACTGCTGACCTTTTGGTTAGCAGCCAAGCTCTTA